TTTTGTTGATTTAACTTTGATAGTTATTATGATAACATTTTCAGTGTATTGAAATAATTATTTGTTTCGATGTGTTATTAAATTTAACCACTAAACTTCTTTCTAGTTAAGTTTGTTGCATATCTTATTTACCTGAGGTTAGTTATCTTTCATTCATAAACACCTTCTGTTTGATATCAATAAATTAATTACAGAGAACTTATTGAAGAAGAGTTTTAATAGAAAATGTAGTTTAGATGAGAGTTTTACTCTTAAACAATCTGGTTAGAATAAATCTAATAACCAGAAACACTCTAACTTATTAATGAAAGAATCAAAATACAATATAGAAGATAATTAACCCAATAAACTATTGTTATTTGTAGTTTCATTTTACAACTTTGTACTTATTAAAATCTTACTTTATATTCAATAAAGTACAAAAGAACAAATATTAAACTGAAAATAAACAATTAACTTTATTTTTTTTTCACACTTTCCTTTAGTATTTGGATTAAATGAACTGTTTATTATATAATAATACTATCCATATTAGATCATTTGATTTTAGTATTACTTTATTTATTTTCATTTATTTGTTGATTTGCTAAATCTACTTTCCATAAACTATTCTTTTCTTGGAAGTACAATTAAATATAACAACTTTGATAATTCTGACACTAAATTGAAAAACATTATATTCATTACAACAATTAGAAACAAAACGATGCCAATACACCCCTATTGATTAACACAATACTATGTGTGCATTTGGATGATTTTATTATTCATAAACATCAATGCACTTTATTGTGTTAACAAAAATTTTATCATTAATCTTAAATACAACATTGTTGTGTCACTAACCACAATAAATAAGGTATTATTTCAACAAATAGAGGTTGAGCATCACCAATTGGTTATCAGATAATAAATTCTTATAAATTCTAATATATTTCACTCAAAATTGTTAGAATAGTTTGTGTTTCAATAGTAAAACATTGTTCATACTAACTAAATTCTTAAAAACTCTATTGGAAGGATATTATTTAGAAATAATTGCTTTGTCATTACTTACACATTACCTTACCAACACAAAAACAACACTAACTGTATGGAGAATGAACAACAGTTCTAAAGAAGAACTTAAATGAATGATAAGAAGACAAGAAGTCAGAAAACAAACGAGAAAATAAACAATGTTATATATCTTATTATTCATGAACAAAAAAAAGAAAGAGAATGAAAAAAAAATTGTATTCTACATGATTCTACTCATATTAAAAGACGAATAAAGAACAAGTTGTTGAAAAAATTAGAATAAACACATTATTCGATAGTAATTAGAAAGTTCTATGAATATAAAAACTATTATTGTCTAGACTAAAAACCCCCCTTTCTTAATGTCAATTACATTGAAGTCACACTTAAAAGTTCTTAAACAACAATATGAAAATTATAAAGCTGATTATGAACTTCTTGAACAATATTTTTCAGGAAAAGAATTTAATGGGTGTTTCCCTAAAATCCTTTTAGATCAATTAAAAAATCAACATAAAGGACAAGATGAAATTGAACTATTAGTTGAAACATTAAAACCATTAGTTTGTATTGGATCATGTTATGCACTTTGTAAACCATCACAATTTCCAGTAGGTGGATGTTGTTATTGTAAAGAAAGTGGAAATGCATATATTGGATTTAATATGGAATCAGCAGGACATTGGATTGGATATTCAGTTCATGGAGAACAATGTACAACAAATAATGCATTGATTCATGGAGAAAAGAAAATTGATTTATTAGTAATTAGTTATACACCATGTGGACATTGTA